AAATACATTTGAGACTCGGTCTAACCTCTTCTAGGTAAATTAAATATTCTGATCAATATTATTCTCATCACGATCAGCCATGACTATACACTGCTGAATGAAGGTCTCCCCTATCTGGTCCCGCAGCACAACAATCAATTAAACATCTGCACAAGAGCTGATCTCTTTGATCAATCTCTGCAGTGGATGTAATCTCAGGTGTTTTCCTTCCTGTTGTTAGTGTCGACCACTGGCCATCATCCCCCTTCTAGTGACTTTTCCTGCCCAAGCCCACTTACTTTTATACATAGTGCATGCGATCATGGATATAGCCACTGTTAAGATAAATTACTAAAATGTCAGTTTAACTTCGTGAAATTTGGCTTATCTACTTTGTCATTTTAAATTCATAAATATAAAAGAGGGACATATATTCAAGTCCTGTCACATGATTCATATTTTAATGCGGCACCCTAGGTTGACTTATAAATAAAATATTAAGACCTTTAATAGGCATATCAGGAGTTCTAAGGTGACTCGGATGTCATTGGCACTCTGAGCCTTTCAGTCGGTCAATTGCCATAATTTTGTCAAAGCTCGCAATGAAGATCGAGGAGAAAAATTTAATTGAACAGGTGCAAGCAAAACCCAGGGCAAGACAAAGTTAAAACCTGCAATTATATAAGTCAACACGCAAAGCAAAAAAACCTCCATCACTCGAGCATTATCGGCAAAAGCCATGATTTATTCACTGCTGGATGAAGGCCTCCCTAAGCCGTCACTATCTCTTGCGGTCTTCCGATGCAGAAGACTGTAACCACTGCGTAATCCCCGCAAGTGGTTTCCCTGTCAGCAGTGCCCGTTTGCTACCAGCCCTGCCGTTCGTGTCGACCATCAGCCGTCATCCCTGAGTAATGCTTTGTAGGACCGTCAACAGTTGTGCTGTGGAGAGACTGGAGACCTCCATCGGATTCTGAGTTTTCAACCACCCAATGCTCATGAAGCGTGGGTATCCTCTGGCTTTTGTGATGGGCAACATACGAAAGCTCCGAATTTTTGTTGAGAGGTTCAAATGTAGCTGAAATGGAGAATGCTCTTTACATTGCCTGTATGGTTGCCTGCAATAAAATATAATATAGCAATGATACAAAATCACTGCTCGACAAGGGCCTTCCCACGCCGCACGGGCATTATGGGTTGTTTGACCATACTTCACCACGCTGGTCAATGCGGGTTGGTGAAGGAGAGGGACAGGACAGGTTCACTCCCCTCCATTGTCGGCCATGGCCAATATCAGTGGTGATATCGCTCACCACTGATGTTAGCCGTGGCCGACATCAGTGCTGATACTGATGTCGGCCGTGGCCAGGAAACAAACTCAGGTCACCGCTCTACCCAATCATAAATATCGCCCTCTAAAATAATTCAATTCATAAATGTCAATGAGAGGTTGAATCTGTGTTTCGGATGGTAGAGATAATAGATAAGGCACAGATGCAATGTTATTCTGTGCGAGTGAAATATATATTTTTTAAAGAAATCGTCAATCGCATTTAATGTTGAAATGATTTTAGACGTTAATATCGGAACCTATGATAAAATCACCAAATCACGCGGCATGCACTTGATATCATCCTATCTCAGAAGCAAAGAGGGGTCGAGCCTGGATGGTGCTTGCGTGGGTGACCATCATCAGTAACAGGTGTTATAGGCTGTGCGGCTGCGTGGTGGGCAGCAGTGGGCAGTACAGCATAGCCATTGTTTTATTGTGCTTGTCACATCCTCCATCATCTTTGCCTCCTGCTTTTACCAACGTGGTGAGGTATGTTCAAATAACCCCCTGCGGAGAGGCACTCATCCAGTAGTGGATTAACAAATTGGGATGAACACGTACACGTATACAGTACATCTGAACCTGAGCAGCTGCAATATTCATGGTCTACAATTAAACCGTCTTTGTCACAAGAAATAAACACAAATGCAGTTTAACTTTTTGGAGCGGTCATTATGACAGTGATAATGAGTGTGCATGTTAAATACATTCTGCTGTGATAAGACTTGGGAGTGATATTGTGCGCACACAATTGGGAAGGAGCACACACATTCGCCCCGTTAAATAAAAATGGAAATGGAAAGAAAATATCAATTTACCAGAGAAAGATTAAAATTTTGGACGGACGCTGCCGCCCGCGTGCAAATGACTGGCCAATGTTTTCCTTCATAACGTTACGACAGGCAAAATTGATTGGAGCCTACACTTGCCGTGCTCTCTCGAACATCATACGGATCAACTGTCAAATCTCGCAGTGGCACTTGAAGCCATTTCGGAGCGGTTGGGAGACCCCGGCGAGGCAGTGATGCCACTGTGATGGAAAGGCTCCGTGGGGAGCATTGTTCTTGCCGCTCCTTGTTGTATCTACCCGTGTGCTTCTGGACACAGTGAAACGCTCCGTGACGTGATGACAGGCCACGGTGAAATCCTCATTCCTTCTATTTCGTCACTTTCACTCTTTTTCAAAAGCAATTTCCACCAATGTATAGATTCGTTGTCCAATTAGATTATTCCGCTTCTGTGTCTTGGAAGATGGACTTTTTCACTATTGCACAAAAAGTGAAAGTTCAGCCCTCCAATTGCTCTGTTCATGTTTTTGCTTGCGGAAGGGCCTCCATTACAGGGTCGCTCTTCAAGAGGGTATTTTGGCCTACTCTTCCACGTTGGCCAGAAGGGAGTGCCCACACGCAATCTGCTGGGTTGGAGGGGGCTGCAGATTGAGGCAGGTGGCCATGACTGCTTGCTGCTATCGCTAGTCATAGCTGGGAATTGACCTCAGGTGGCTTTGGCATTGAACTTGGTGCATTAATCACTTTGCCACCCGTGTAGCATATTCTGTAGTTGCTTTAATCGGTTGTCATGACTGTGTCATCAGTAATACTTGAGTGGATTAATGTTTTAAGAAAACTTTTATAATCTTGGTGTGAAGAGGCTTGCGTGACTCCTATGATTTGTGTACTGTATTGTTATTTCATGAAAAAACTAGTGTAGCTCTTCCATCTATCAATTTGTTCTCAATAATTTGTGTGCTTGGACAGCTGCATTCATTTCCACTGAGCCAAATTTATTTTCATAGGCTATAAATGGCATCATAGTGTTTGATATAAAAAAAATTCAAGGATCTTATCTCCAGACGATAAAAAAAACCCCGAAGCAATTCTGTAACTATGGTGACCCGTGTCTCCCTTGTAAAAAAATATGATGCATACCAGCAGGCTGATTAAATACGGGACAAAAAGCGGAGACAGAGTATTGACTGTTAAGATAATTGATTGGGCTTCACATGATGACCGGCAGTTGACATTGACAACAAAGTAGCAGCCAAAGGTGGGAACGCCAAAGAGGACGTCCACCTTGAAGATGGAGCAATGATGCTAGCTCACACAACGCCTTGCTTATCTCGTCAAGGAGCATACACCATCACACAACCTGCAGTGAACCTCGCAGGAAGCTTTTGGCTAACCATGGAACAAAGACGGTCACCGCATCGCGCGCTTTCAGGTGCGCTTCTGCGGGCGTCTGGAACGCTCTTCCGATATTAGGAAGCCACTGGAGCTGTGCACTTTTAAATCATCTAGATTGAAAATTTATTTCTTTAGAACTGCTTTTCGTGTTTAGTTTGTTGTCCTCCCACCGCACCTCCGATTAGCACGGTTGGTTACGTACGGTGCGAAAGAAGTTCAACATATATATACATACTTCATGCTGGTCAATGTGGGTTGTTTGTATTGGGCTAACCGGTGTACCCCCACCCCCAGGTATTTGAATACCTGCTCCCCTTTGTTTCACAATGTTAAGTACTATAGCTATATTCTTGGTTCTTTCGGTAAAGTCACGTAGAAGGGAAACAATAAAATAATAAAAAATATAAAACAATAAAATTCTCACGACGTTTCGACTGCAACACAAGCAATCATCATCAGGTGTGAAAACCACAGCAAGAACATTTGAAAAAAAGTGGCGGTTTTTTTACGTTAGCACCACGGAGAGCGATTTGACAGTTTGTTTAGATGGACGAGTCCATCTATGTTCGGAAAAGAGGAGGGGGGAGACGACATGTTATTCACAGGGTTAGAACGACTCTGCAAAATGTTGGCCACGGTAGTGCACGCCTGTAATCTATTACCTAGGGGTCGGCGGCCCACGCAGAGGTCGCCGCGTATGCGAGGCACCTCCCCCAAGGAGCTATGCTAGTTCTCAGGAGATGGAAGTACAGCAAGTAGATTGCCCTGTCTCTATTGATTATTTTTAGCATTGTGCCTTCCTGTGTGTCATTTGTCTCTGGACACTCCAGTTTCCTGCTACACACAAATGAGCATGTTACATCGTTTACCAAATAAGCTGGACAGAATACATGCGAATTAGAGTCTTTGGACTCATCTTGTGGCATTAATGATGAAAGAGGTATTGAAACAAGTTGAAAAACATTGTGCACGTGCATGAATTATGTGCCGCTCTCCAACGTACATTGTCATTGGAAGTATCTAATTAGCGGTGTAGAAGGCGACAGGTATCTGTCAGGATGAAATGTGCTTGTATTTTGGAAAATAGTCCTATTCACTCTGATTTGTTTCTTCAAGTTTTGCACAACCCAATGATTAATTTGACTGGTTTTCTGTAGGGTAACTCCCAAGTCGGTACGGAACGTTTTCCCAAAGCCCCGTTCATTTTGGATTATCTTTACAATTTCCATAGTTCTTCCCCGTTACAGACAAATGGACAGGACTAATGCATTAGCAGTCGAGTTGGAAGACACAAATCAAATGTGACAGTTTCATGACATCGCTTAATGGTGGAATAAAAACACCAGAAGATTCACATTTAGCCCAAGTTGTCACTGTCCTTGGATGGTGTGTGTGCGTGTGCGCGTGCGCGCGTGTGTGACTGGTCAGCTTGTATTTTTGCGTTTTGCCCCTTGCTCTAATCTGCTTTAGCGCACAACCACAACTGCTGATGTCTCTCCCTGCAGATGCTGATTATGACGGATTTGGCCAGAGATGACGGATGTTGAGCCAGCGTCTCTGTCGGATTTCGCGGCGTCGGGCAGGTCGGGGCGGCGTAACGCCCTGCCGGACATCCTGGGCTCCCCATCTGGTGCCTCGTCTGGCGAGCTGCCCCTCAAACTCGCCGAGCTCACCGTGACCGGTACGCCAAGCCGGCCACACGGCCACGTAGCCACTACAGCACCCAGTCGTACTCGATCGCGCAGCCTTACACAGCCATGCAGCCACGCAGTCAATGAACCATAAAGACACCCAGTCAAACAGCCACACACCGATACCCAACCCACCTGGTCAAGTAATGTACACGGCCACACATCCACTCGGACATATAGTCAACCAGCCACTCACTCAACCGGCTACTCAGGCACCCAGTCTTACGTACAGATATCTCATCACATCGTAACTGAACCTGCCAGTCGCCCAACTACCCATACACCTTGCCACCTAGCAACCCAGCTATCAACTAAACCGCAGAGCCACAGCATGCATCCAGTCAACAAGCCACACATACACACAGGCAGCCAATCATACAGGCAACCAGATAACCAATGGCGTAACCACTCTGCCACCCATAACTTCTGCCATCCTGCCACCCAGCCGCTGAGCCATCCTGCTGTCCATCAACCCATCCTCCCAGCCACCAAGCGAGTAAGAGAAAATAAATCCAAACATGCCAGGCACTTTACTCCGTAGCCAGTCAATTAGCCTGTCTGCCACCTGTACATTCTGTCACCCAGCAACATAGCTGCTTTTGACTCCCCACCTAGACACCCATGAGTACGACAACCTGAATGCCAAGTGGGTTTTCGCAGGCGTGTGGAATTGGAGTCTATTTCTCATATCTGCCTCTGACAGAAATGGATTAAGGATCCCTTGAGCTTCCAAGACCGGTACGAGTTAAAGGTCTGTGGCAAGCAAATGTTTGTCTTGGACCTGCCGTTTGCAGCAACAGTGGATTTAAGAGGATTGGCAAGGGTTCGTTGTGAATTGTCACATGCGCTGAAAATTCAGCAGTTATTCTATTAATAGGATGTGATTTTTAATCCATGATACTGCATTATATAATTCACATGATTTGCAATTCAACGAGCATGGATGTAAGGGCAGCAAATTATCTGCAAGAGTAACTAAAGCAAATAAGTTGTTAGTCTATTTGTGCTGAGTTTTTACTAAAAGCCCACAGTATTCTGGAAACTCTGGTTTTCCCCCTATTTACATTGGCAGATATTATTTGGCCCAACATCCTCATAAGAACCGATATAAAAAGGTTTTTCAGGAAAGCACAAAGTGTTTGATTATTGTTGATATTTGAATCAAAAGTCAAAAAGCCATGACAAAATTTCACCTTGCTCAGAAGCAGTGGTGGAATTCCACATTCCCATGGGAAGGGTCAAACTACTTTTAAAACAACCACTGTCTACTATCTGAAAAATCAGTTCTCATTTTTGTTCATTGAGACAATGGGCAAGCCCCGTTTATGTAAAATTGTGACACACGTACACATCGTCAACATAAACTAAACCGGTTATGAAAAGCAGGGGAAAGATGGGGAGCAGACCCGCAATCACTTGTAATGTTATTAACTCAGGAAGGATGATGGCCTGAGTTGACACCTGACTGGAATTGTGCGCTTGAAACCTACCAATTGTGAGTGTATAGCACTTCACTACATTGCCACCCACCTGGACACGTGGTCATTAGGTTGCACAAATTGATATGTATCATAACAAAAACAAAATGTACTTGGATGAGTCGACCACTAGGGCTTGCCAGGCGTTGTAGATGTCAGGCTGCGAGGTGTGGCCAGGAGATGGAAGTGCTAAATTGTCTCTCCCTCGTATGCATGGTGGGTTTTCTCCGGGTTCACCCGTTTCCTCCCACATGGAGCCAAACGTTCATTAATGGAATTTGCCTAATATGCCAATGTAGCAGTACCCTCTGGAAGTAATTTTGAGACTCAGTGAGGCTTTTGTGGGTAAATAATTGACGGTATTATTACTCTTGCTATTTCCGCATTGTATATTTTAAAGTGTAATTTGTAATATTTGTTCAAAAAATGCTAATGTTCAGTACAATTTTTTTCTTCTAAATTATAGTTTTTAAGCACACCGTGTCAACTGTAACACGTGTGGTCTTTTAAACCCCCCAAAAACATATTTTTGCAGCATCTCCATTTATGCATGTTACATAATACAGACTTGGTATTTCCTGCCTATTGCTTATTTGGGAATTTAACTGGGTGCTTCAGAGTGGTGAAGCACAAATCAGAATCTAATTATTTATTTAGACCAATAATCTGATGATCTACGAAGTTCTATTTCACGGATATCCAAATCAAAAGTGAAATCAGTTATAACCATTTTTTCCCCATAATAATTTTGCAGAATAGATTATTTACAAGGTGCAAAGTGAGCATGCATTGCAATTATGCAGGCCCCAATTAGATACAATTCATCAACTTTATACATGATCAGTACACTGCTGGATGAAGACCTCTGCAGGCCTTTGCCAACTTTCGGGGTTTAGCCAAGTAACAATTCATCTAACACCGGCACATCTGCTCATTTAATCGCTCCATCTCCATGGTGGACGTGCTCTATCTGGCATTCACTTCTTTGGTTGTCACTTCATCACCGGCCATTCATCTCTTCTCGCAACGCGTCCTGACCAGGCCCCACTTACTTTTCTTAACAAACAGTACGATGTCTTGAACCCGCATGTGTTCTCTAATTTGAAAATTATCTCTAATTGCGGGCACCACGGTGGTGAGATATTAACTCCCTCACCTGGTATGCAGGAGATCCTGGGTCTGATCCCGACCCTAACGCCTGCATATTTGGAGTTTACATGTTCTCATTGTGGTCACGTGGATTTTTCTCCGGGTCCTCCGGTTTTTCCCTCCACATTTTTCCTCCATATTTATAAACGTGCGCTTTGTGTATTTGGATGGGATAAATTTGCATGTGATTAGCATTGTACATATTCCAGGATTAATTTATGACATCGTATTGAAAAAACATCCAAATTTGTAACTTTTAATGTTGTATTGCAGTTTGATTCATGACAACATTACATTATCATCGACTAATTGTATAATTTAACAGATATAAACATCAATTACCTAATTTATGTAATTATACTCCAGTAGGTACGTTTGTTTTCCATGGACTATAATTAAACTTGCAATCAAGGGCATTATACCCCTGTGGAGTATTGTTCTTTGATTGCAATAATGTTTTCTCGTTTGACCACATATATGGAAAGACTGTTATGTAAGCAATGTATGTAGGCTACTTAGTGGATATTCATTTGCTTTTAAATTGTCCTCCGTACCTTTTTTATGAATAGTTTTTGTTTTGATTTAAAGCTTTCGTGACTGCAGTAATTCATATTCTTAGCTCTTTCGGTAAAGTCACGTTGAAGGGAAACAATAAAATAATAAAATATATATACCTAAAATATTTTATTGTTTCCCTTCAACGTGACTTTACCGAAAGAGCGAAGAATATAATTTTTGTTATTATTATTATTTACAATCCTTTACAAACCAACGGCTGAATGGGAACCTCTCCGCACCATGTCGGACGTGCGGATTGTTTGATCATACTGAATAGTTATTGTTATTATTATTTACAATATTATTTACAATACTTTACCTGGCTGGTCATTGGGGGTCGATGGAGGAGGACCCAAGACCAGTTAATATATCACTCGCCACTAAAGTTAGCCGTGGCTGGAAATCGAACTGAGGTTGGCAGGTTTCGTCGCGCAGTGTGCTCACCAATGCAACGCTCCTCCACCCCTATACTCTTACAGGAATTCACTTTTAAATTACCATAATTATGTACATAATGGATGCCTCTAACGGGTATTTGGCCTGATCTTTCACACCATTCTCGAAGCAGTACTATTTATGACTTATCAATCATCAACTTCCATTTCCTTATTCTCATGCTGCCATCGTTTAGATATTCAATCATGTTTGCGTTATATTCTTAATGTTTCTTATTTATTTCTAAATGGAATTCAGAGCTCTGCACGTTCTGTCTTTGGGATGTTTTCTTTTCATGTCACCCATTTCCTTCCAACGTGCTTTGATAATTGAACTAACTCCTACATATGCTCTTTTACTTTCCCCTCACTTTTAGATAACTCCTTTACAAAGTTAATGTGTTCATTATTTAAATTTGTTTGCTTCTCGAGAGATATGAATCAGTCTAAATTATATTTCCCTCTAAACTAAATTATACATGTTTACCATCTTTTATTTGTCTGTTATCAACTTTGTCCTCTCTTCGTAAATGTTAAAGTGTAAGTTCCATTTCCCTCTTCATCACATGACGGTCACGCTGATATTTTTCACTCTTAGAACTGGTGTTTTTACAAATCAGTTGTTAAACCAATTGTAATATACCTACTTTTTGCACAATCATTGGTGACCAGGCCGAGACCATCCACTCCCTACACTTGAGAACTCAGTTTAGTCACGGATGGCTCCCCAGATTTGGACCCATAATCTGTGGGGCCAGCTTGACGCTCTGACCTCTGACTCACCTGGTCACCTTCAGAGTAGGGGTGTGTCTCGCTTCAGGAGACATGTCCATCTGACTCACCCGGGCACCTTCAGAGTAGGGGTGTGTCTCGCTTCAGGAGACATGTCCATCTGACTCACCTGGCACCTTCAGAGTAGGGGTGTGTCTCGCTTCAGGAGACATGTCCATCTGACTCACCTGGTCACCTTCAGAGTAGGGGTGTGTCTCGCTTCAGGAGACATGTCCATCTGACTCACCCGGGCACCTTCAGAGTAGGGGTGTGTCTCGCTTCAGGAGACATGTCCATCTGACTCACCTGGCACCTTCAGAGTACAGGTGTGTCTCGCTTCAGGAGACATGTCCATCTGACTCACCTGGTCACCTTCAGAGTAGGGGTGTGTCTCACTTCAGGAAACATGTCCATCTGACTCACCTGGCACCTTCAGAGTAGGGGTGTGTCTCGCTTCAGGAGACATGTCCATCTGACTCACCCGGGCACCTTCAGAGTAGGGGTGTGTCTCACTTCAGGAGACATGTCCATCTGATTCACCTGCCACCTTCAGAGTAGGGGTGTGTCTCACTTCAGGAAACATGTCCATCTGACTCACCTGGCACCTTCAGAGTAGGGGTGTGTCTCGCTTCAGGAGACATGTCCATCTGACTCACCTGGTCACCTTCAGAGTAGGGGTGTGTCTCGCTTCAGGAGACATGTCCATCTGACTCACCTGGTCACCTTCAGAGTAGGGGTGTGTCTCTTCAGGAGACATGTCCATCTGACTCACCTGGCACCTTCAGAGTAGGGGTGTGTCTCGCTTCAGGAGACATGTCCATCTGACTCACCTGGCACCTTCAGAGTAGGGGTGTGTCTCGCTTCAGGAAACATGTCCATCTGACTCACCTGGCACCTTCAGAGTACAGGTGTGTCTCGCTTCAGGAGACATGTCCATCTGACTCACCTGGTCACCTTCAGAGTAGGGGTGTGTCTCGCTTCAGGAGACATGTCCATCTGACTCACCTGGCACCTTCAGAGTAGGGGTGTGTCTCACTTCAGGAGACATGTCCATCTGACTCACCTGGCACCTTCAGAGTAGGGGTGTGTCTCGCTTCAGGAGACATGTCCATCTGACTCACCTGCCACCTTCAGAGTAGGGGTGTGTCTCTTCAGGAGACATGTCCATCTGACTCACCTGGCACCTTCAGAGTAGGGGTGTGTCTCGCTTCAGGAAACATGTCCATCTGACTCACCTGGTCACCTTCAGAGTAGGAGTGTGTCTCTCTTCAGGAGACATGTCCATCTGACTCCCCTGGCACCTTCAGAGTAGGGGTGTGTTTCACTTCAGGAAACATGTCCATCTGACTCACCTGGTCACCTTCAGAGTACAGGTGTGTCTCGCTTCAGGAGACATGTCCATCTGACTCACCTGGCACCTTCAGAGTAGGGGTGTGTCTCGCTTCAGGAGACATGTCCATCTGACTCACCTGGTCACCTTCAGAGTAGGGGTGTGTCTCGCTTCAGGAGACATGTCCATCTGACTCACCTGGCACCTTCAGAGTAGGGGTGTGTCTCGCTTCAGGAAACATGTCCATCTGACTCACCTGGCACCTTCAGAGTAGGGGTGTGTCTCGCTTCAGGAGACATGTCCATCTGACTCACCTGGCACCTTCAGAGTAGGGGTGTGTCTCACTTCAGGAAACATGTCCATCTGACTCACCTGGCACCTTCAGAGTAGGGGTGTGTCTCTCTTCAGGAGACATGTCCATCTGACTCACCTGGCACCTTCAGAGTAGGGGTGTGTCTCGCTTCAGGAGACATGTCCATCTGACTCACCCGGTCTTACCTTCAGAGTAGGGGTGTGTCTCGCTTCAGGAGACATGTCCATCTGACTCACCTGGCACCTTCAGAGTAGGGGTGTGTCTCGCTTCAGGAGACATGTCCATCTGACTCACCTGCCACCTTCAGAGTAGGGGTGTGTCTCGCTTCAGGAAACATGTCCATCTGACTCACCTGGCACCTTCAGAGTAGGGGTGTGTCTCGCTTCAGGAGACATGTCCATCTGACTCACCCGGGCACCTTCAGAGTAGGGGTGTGTCTCACTTCAGGAGACATGTCCATCTGATTCACCTGCCACCTTCAGAGTAGGGGTGTGTCTCTCTTCAGGAAACATGTCCATCTGACTCACCTGGTCACCTTCAGAGTGGGGGTGTGTCTCTCTTCAGGAGACATGTCCATCTGACTCACCTGGCACCTTCAGAGTAGGGGTGTGTCTCGCTTCAGGAGACATGTCCATCTGACTCACCTGGTCACCTTCAGAGTAGGGGTGTGTCTCTCTTCAGGAAACATGTCCATCTGACTCACCTGCCACCTTCAGAGTAGGGGTGTGTCTCGCTTCAGGAAACATGTCCATCTGACTCACCCGGCACCTTCAGAGTACAGGTGTGTCTCGATTCAGGAGACATGTCCAAAAGCGTGTGTGGGCAAATGCACCCTTTATTGTGCAGAGACAAAACGACCAATTGAAGACTTTTTTTCTGGAGAAGTCCTGTGAAAAGTATCTTCAGCATCCTTTCTCCAAGACATGGGGTGCACCTTTCTGTGAGATTTCCACATTCATTCTTCATGTCATGACGTGGTGCAATTGATGAAAAACATTTACAAAGCAAAGTTGTAAACCGTGGCTCTAAATTTCATGCAGATTCAACAAGCCTTTCAAAATGAAAATGTGTGTGCAGCGTAGTAACCCCGACTCTTCGTTTCTTCAAAGCAGAGGGTGCGTCGCAGGAGGCCCAGACGCCAACCCTGGAGGATCCTGTGGTGGGCAACGATGGAAATGGAGGCGACAAGGAGTGAGGACGACTGCCTGCCTACAGCCACGCCAACCTGAGCACGGCCGAGCCTGCGACGCCCCGAACAACCAGGATGGAACGCAATCAAACCTGACCCGCTCGCTTTGGTTCCTTTTTCTCCTAATCGTAGCGTAGGCTTCATGATTGTACCAACTGTGTGAGGAGGGGAAAGGTAATTTCCTGCAGGTGAGGAGGTGGCTCTATAGCTTGAGACACCGGGGCAGTTCGACCGCTACGGTTTTTGGAAACATCGTGCCGAATGTAAAGCGTCGGGAGTCGAGTGGGAGGCACAGCGATTCCCGATGCCTTCGCTGAAAATAGATCGCAGGCAGTGCTTACATGCTGACGGCATGATCAGTGTGTGTACATTGCATAAGGAAAATATTTTATACATTTTGAATTGAACGTTAGGTTTTTAAGGAAAAATATATTAAACAATTTACGAGAAGAAGACATTTTTTTCCTTGGGAGTATTTAGGGTATTATCACTGTGTTGGAAGTAGGGTTATATGGTTGATTTTGATGGCAACCAATGCACTGTACAACCAATGCAGGTGGTGGAATCAAACCCTTTGCTGAGTTTCCTCGGAGAGAGAGCAAAGAGAGGAGGCTAGAATTCACTTAAAATGTAAAAAAAAGCCGGATTTTCACAAATGTTTGTTGCATAATAATATGTGTTGTTTTTCCCCATTGTAATTTTCGAACAGTTGTGGCAAATACATAACGGGCAATGACACAAGCTTAAGGAATTATGTGTATAGTTATAGTGTGCGTGCAGACCACTTTCTAACGTTGAGGAAATTCTACCCCTGAGAGAGTTACATGATATCTGGATTAAAGAGCATAGAGATGAGCCTCATGATGATCCTGGTATTAGGCCGAAATTACCGTGTAGTGCTTTGGACCTTGGTTTCTAAACCTTTTGACTTACCACAAGCATTCAAGCATTGTCAACAATTACAAACAAATTTAGTTCTAAAACCAGTGTAAAAATTTGTTCACATTACAATTCACAAGCACCAAAACTGAAAACAAAGAGATTTACTTCAACTAATTTTAAGTAATAATCATAATGCAGAATCTTAAGCAACTCATTCTTGAAAATCCAGCGAATGACTTTTACCATTCCAACAATTGTGTTGCCGTTAGAACTACTATACTACTATACCAGATGTAAATGAGAGACAGATAAGAGTAATTTTGTGTTTGTTCAGATAATTGTGGGTTTGTGAAAGAAAGGTCACAAGTGGTGTGATTTTTGTTTAAAGTTTTAAATCAGCTGTATAATAATCATACCGAGTGTGTAAAGGCAAATGCAAACTGTTTGAGTATAACTGTCCGTGTGCTTATAAACTGTGACGCTTACTAGTGTGACAGCCACAAGTGTCCATCATGGAAGCATTGATTTGAATAAGCACAACTCATCATCATCGGCACACATGGAGTCAAGCGTGCGCCGTTCCCGTTTTCCCAAAATCACTGTTGTGCTTGCTGATTTCAGTGACTAAGAGATCAAACGGCAGCAACCAAATATGCGATGCACAGTGTGGCATTGACATCTAACGATGCAGTGGATACATTTTTCACAAAGAGGGAAAGTTTCCAAACATTGAGGCCCCCTTCAACTCGACTTTGGCCGCAATGCCTCGTTTATAAAGGGACATAAAATCATGTAATGCTATTAATTTGTTATCATTTTGGTGTAATCATTCACTACGCAGACTACTGCTAATTGTGGAAAACCACATTTTTGTGAACCTGGAGACTGTCCTTATTGCTCAATTACATAAGTATGCACAGCAGGAATCCTACTTATCTGTGGTGATGTGAGTGACGAACGTCACCAAAATTCCATTATCTGCAATGTTATCTGTGAAATTACTCCCATTTATCTGCGAAAAGAAATCAATCGTGTGTAGAATCCGTGGATAATAGGATGAATTGCCATGCTTCACTTATTCATATAATGTGAAAGTAGGAAGCTTTTGCAATGGATGGTGGCAGGTGAGAATAGGGGGAATTAATTTGTTGGTATTTTAGTGCGGACTCTATAGGTCTTGCGGATAATTGGAGTTGCAGATAATAGGGCTGTGGATAAGTGGTATTTGAAGTTGTGTAAAATACTAAAATGCAACTATATGAGTCGTTTGTAGCCATGTTAGCAGATGTATTGGTATAGTACTGTCTACATAACATAAACCAGTGGTACAAGTTAAACAAAAATCGTCACCATTTTTCGACACTTTTTTTCGACTAAACTTGTCTTGCATATTTAACTAAATTGTGATGTTGGTGTAGAGTTTTGTTTTAAATACTGCTTTAAGCTATTTGCTTAATCTTTATATCAAGTTATCTTTATTATCTTGACCGCATATTAAATTTGACTCGTGTAGTTGTCAATTTATGTGTAATATATTTGTTTATCATTCACAAGACGGGAGAAATTTTGATTTAAAGCTTTCGTGACTGCAGGGATTCATATTCTTGGTTCTTTCGGTAAAGTCACGTAGAAGGGAAACAATAAATAATAAAAATATAAAACAATAAAATTATCACGACGTTTCGACTGCAACACAAGCAATCATCATCAGGTGATCAGGTGATGATTGCTTGTGTTGCAGTCGAAACGTCGTGAAAATTTTATTGTTTTATATATTTTTTTTATTTTTGTTTCCCTTCTACGTGACTTTACCGAAAAAACCAAGAATAAGACAGGAGAAGCTGCTTTTGTAGTCGTGTGCAGATAAAGTTTGCACAATGCTTGGACTGAAAACATAAACAAACCCTAATTCACAAATATCAGACGCGTTACGCTCAGTCAATTAAACGTCTTGAAAAACTACACTTTTAATTGGAACTTAATTAAAACGCTATGTGAGAACTTAAAACGAATGCATATGCCATTGGTTGATTACTGTATATCATTTATGAATTCACGCCATCCTTTTTCCGTTGTCAACTGCAAGAATAGTTTTTCCAAGTGTCATTGCTCCCTTTTTTTTGCTCTTGCCTTCTCCAAGCTGGAGTTCCACGACGTTTTACACACGGGGATCACTGAACCTCGAGTACCTGACGTTGCACGGAACGTGTTCGCCCCCCCCTCCCCCCACAGGGGTGATTCGATACTTTAGGGTCACATTGTGTGTCACGTGGTGCCTGTTCATTGTTTGGGCCTGGGTTAGGCCTAAACTAAGTTAAAAACTATAATTGTTTGTATATATATAAAAGGCATAACACATTACAACAATTATCGCATCTGATCAATAACATGAAATGATCAATCATTATTATATTAATATCTCTAACTAACATTTTAGTATTTTCAAGTATTATGGTCCAAGCCTCCCAATGCCTCCTACTCCACTACAACAGACATTCACTGAACTCCAAATTTCACACCAATAACATCTCAAGAATTACATAATTTCCCCCTAGTGTCCTTAACATTAGGTCTCGTACAATGTAGTCTTACAGCCACACGAATACTATCTCCTCTCCTATTCATCACTCAACGCTGTCCATTAGAGCGTGTCAATCGCGGCTAATCCTATAAATGACAACACAAACCTATCATAACATGTAAAATACCTTAGCAATATCCCCTTTTGTGCCTCCCCAACCACGGTTGGCTGCCGTGTCACGTACCAATCCGCAAAGTTCAACCGAGTGAACTTTGCAGTACATTAGAATTACACCCCCTTGATGTTATTGAATTGCTGCTTGAGGCGCATTAAGTGTCGTTATGGAGTTTCAGTAATCCTGTGAACCCAGCCTAATACATTGTGCCCTGTCATTATGTGGCCATTGAATAAGCACACATATCTCTGGTAATGTATACTTGTTCTGTGTGGATTACAGTGCGTCATCAAGACAATTACAGATTGAAGACTCTCCAATGTGTTTGAAGACGCTCAGGTGCCTGTTGTTTACCCAGTCACGGGTTGCTCAATCTCAACACCCTTTTTCCGGAGGGGTTCTGAATTCGGATGTTTGACCAATCCCACGAATGGTTTGTTTCGTGTGGGAGAAAACCAGAGAGTCCACCACGTGAACTAGGAGGGCGACACTCGGCATTGCCATATGCTGACCACACCTAGCCACACACCTTGTCAGCACCTGGCAATGCCTGGTGGTTCACCTTACAATTACTAACCAAGCTCAAACCAGCTTAGCTTCTGAAATCTGGCGTTATTGGGCACTTTTTGGTTACCTGCTCAAAGGTGAATTTTCATGTGGAAGGCCGAACTGTAATGAAGCAACAGTAAAACCTGTCGGTGTTTAAAACCAGAAGCTTAAAACATTTACTCCATATTAACAGCGACGAATTGTAGATGCAGTTAGCAAAACAGGCCCAAATTGAGCTTGTAAGTAGGAAAATGTAAACGTGTGTGAGCCACTCTCATTACACCACAATTATGCTATCGGTGTCAAGACAGAACCTCTTACAGATGTCACAATACAATACTGTATAGCGAAGCCTCTTTGTCTTCACATGGGTACTCACCAGTCTGTTAACGTATTCTCTTATTGTCCATTATAACAGTAGTACACGTCCGTGTAAAGCCCTCGTGTCAAGCCACTGTTGGCCGAGGACCTCCACATGGTATAATTTTGATGGTCTTCGGTAAAAAAAAAATTACACAGTCCTATTTGCACGGTCAATTTGCAGGTCCAAAAGACGGTCGGCATAGCCGTGGAAGCAAAGAAGCAAAGTCCCACGAAGGATTTTGCGACACCGAGAAGCAATCACGGCTCTGCGGTCACATTCACCAACCTGATTTGCATGGTGGTCACCCATCAAAGCTTTATCCCGGCTTGTTGCTTAGCTTCCAATATCTGACGGGATTGGGCGAGTTCGGGATGATTTGATCGTGAGCATAATGGTACGCGTTATTTCTGTTAAAATACATAAATATTAACTATTTGATAAATGTAAAAAAACAGGTTGAGGGGAATATAAATTGGATGTCATGTAGGGTGATTTCACGTTGCATAAGAAGCACATTTTTTTTACATTACGGAAAAATACCTATTTACGTCTCATTTGTCAATCCACTGCTGGATGAAAGCCTCCCCCATGTCTTGTGGTTCCTAGGGCTTGTGTGACTGTACTCTAATAATAACATCATTATGGTCAGTGTGCATTGGTGAAGAGAGGGGCCCAGAAACAGTCACTGGCTGGGTTCAGAGCACAGCGTGCAAACCACTCCACACTACTCCCCCATTGCCACCCACCCCCTCCCCCAGTTACAGTATACATTAAATGTATGCAAAGTGCAGTACATGAATCACAGAATATGTTGACTGTTATTTCTGACTGTTACCCTTGTTTAGTCAGTGGCGTTATCTGGGGCTGATAGATTGGAATAAGCACGTGACTAGTTGCCACAGACATCGCGAGGGGTATGTTGGATTTGGTGTTCTGGGTTCGGAAAAAAAATATTTTCCAGGTCACCGACCGAGACAGAACCTTCTAAAATGAAGCCCTACCTCGTGTTAGCTTTTGATATCATCATCGTCACCCTCCTCTTGTTGTCATGTGGTCTTTTATAATGTTAACAACTTTGAAAAGCAGGTGTTATAATTCAACATTACACAACAAACGACCTTTCATTGTTGCCCTTGCCTCATGCCGTAGACTATATTGAATACGCAGCTCTTTTTGCTAATCATATTATCCGTGTAGCCTATATGATCCGCAAAACAACCCTATTATATGGGCCTCTATTCTTCCTGTAATCCGCCTTTTTCCCATGTTGCATTGCGGAACAGCTTCCTGTTATCTGCAATTCACAGAATCGTGTAGTGAGATCTGCAGGGCAATATCCATGATCCGTATTTTCACGGGTAAAATTGAGCAAATCTGATAGATCACATCACAGATAACAAGATCCACGATATTCGCCCCCCCCCCCCACATCAACGCGCATAAGAGGCGTTCTCCTGCACTTTACAACGGAACGTTGAAATTGGCCTCGGTTCCTTTGGCAAGGGCATAACGTGCATCAGTGCTAATATATTAGGCCTCGCTGTGTATACGTCAAGGCGCAGGGTGTCAAATGGGTCAGGGAACCGCATGCGTATACAGCGAATTATAGCAGTTGCTCGAACTGTGCAGCGTTTCATCTTCTTCGGTTCTTTCGGTAAAGTCACGTAGAATGAGAATAAAATAACAATAAAATTCTCACGACGTTTCGGCAACAACACAAGCAGCCTTCTTCAGGTGAAAGAACAGAACTGTCGCATTGAAGCTCTGGCGTCCCGACAGTTCTGTTCTTTCACCTGAAGAAGGCTGCTTGTGTTGTGGCCGAAACTTCGTGAGAATTTTATTATGTTATTTTATTATTTTATTCTCATTCTACGTGACTTTACCGAAAGAACCAAAGAAGATGAATCCTTGGACAGTCTTCTCAATCTGTCCCCCCCCCCCACAGGATGCTTGAACATAAATCAACATGTCCACATTGATCTTCGCACATTGGGCGAGTGAATTCAGTAAACAACAATGATACGTACAGCGCAGTGCTTAAATCGCTACGGTTCCTGACTTCAACCGCAACCCTTTATGCAATAATACATTCTGGAAATTACAAGAAAACCCCATTATCACAACAGAATAATACAGAATAATAGTGCAGGCTGGACAACTGTAAGTTTCAAACAACACACAAAAACTGTGCAGAAGCTACACAGCCCCTGCGCTTTATGCAAAAAAGCCATCAGTATTTCCTGAAAATGCATTGTGGTCCTCTTGTCGTAGGTCTTCATTGTATATAATTTGTCAAATTTGACCGACTTATCGGCAGCAGTTATAGGTGGAAACATTTTTATCAACGTAAAGCTTCATGGAAACCGAAGAAAAGAGGACCACAATGCACTTCTACAGGAACATTCGAATGGTGTTTGCGTATGCACAGAGGCTGTGTACTTTGTACAATTGTTTTTGTGTTGTTTGGAACCCTGTATACAGTAAAAGGTCACAAGACGTCATTAGAGAAACACGCCAACGCACACCACACATTACCTCCGTCCGTTCACAAATATTGACAGAACATTGGAGGAGATGCCACGGAATTTCTAAACATATTTGACGACTTATTTTTTAGCACCTATTGTTGGCTGCTGAAATCCAGGGCCAGCCTTATTGATTTCGGTGCCCTAAACAAGACAAAATAATGCCCCCCTCCCCCGTCACTAACACAACTACACGTAGTGCAGGTACACGAGGTCCTGCTGCAAAGCTCCTTGAACTTTTGACATCCGTGGCTTCAAAAGGAGATGTAGCTGTGTGTCTGTCACTTCAAGCTCGTAGGGACAGTTTTTTTGTTGTGCAATTGTAAGTTATTCCGAAGTGACATCTGTCAAGCCAGTCAGAGGAAAGGTTTGTTTTAGCTTTGCCA